AGATATATATACTATCTATATATATCTCTTATATATCACTCATATATATATATTAATATATATCTATATATATACTATAATCTATAAATATATATATTATATATATATATATATATATATATATAATATATATATGTATAATATATATATCTAGTAATTAAATATATATATATCATCCTATATGTTATAGTCTAATTATCTCTCTAATATATATATATCAATATATATGATATAGCATATATGTATATATATTATTGTATATATAATATATGTATATAAGATATATATATTATAATATTATATCTATAATATATCTTAGATATATATATAATATATTATTATATATAATATCATATTATATAGACTATATTATAAGATAAATAATATATACTTATAGACTATATATATATATAATAATATATATATTATATATATATAGAGTATTATATATATATCTATATACTATATATATATATATATATATTATATATATTATACTAATATATAATATATATATCTATCTCTAATATATATATATATAATATATATAATATATATATATATATTATATATCTCATATAGTATATTATATAATATATATATATATTACTATAATAGATAATTATATATAGTATAATATAGATATATATATATACTAGAATATATCTATCGTATAATCTATATATATATCTACTTATATATAGTCATATATTCGATATCATATACTACGATCTCTAGCTCACTCTATCTAGATAATCTCTATAGATCATATATATATCTATAATTATTTATATAATATACTATCTATCATTATATCATATATATCTATCTCATCTCTATATAGATAATCTATATATATATCATATCTATCACTTTATATATATAATCTAATTATATATTTATATCATAAATATCTTATATAGTATATATATATATATACTATATATCTCTAACTATATACTACTATAAATATATATCTAATAGATCTCTCTCTAATATCATATCTATCCTATATATATATAATAATATAATATACTCTCTATATATATAATACGATAATCTATAATTTATATATCTATATTATATATAGTCTATAATAATATATCTCTATACTATAATATATATCTAGATATATATATATATAATACTATATCTTATATATATATATATATATATATCTAAATCTCATATATATATATAATATATATTATATCCTCTATATATCTGTATACTATCAGATCTATATAATATATATCTATATCTACTATATTATCTATACTCTTATCTTAATATATATCTAATATAATATATATATATATCTATACTAATATCTATATATATAATAGATAAATATATATCTATACTATATATATCTAGATAATTATTATATTATCATAGCTCTATATCCTCTCTATATCTATCATTATATATCATATACTCTGTATATCAATTTAGATATATCATATATATATATACACGATATATCTATATCTCATCTTCTATCTAATATATATATCTCCTCATATCGCTATCTACTTATCCTATATAAATCTTCTCTCTCTCTCTCATCTATACTATATAATATATACTATCTTCTATTATATCTACATCGATCTCTTATCTCATATATATATTCTCTACAATCTATAATATAATAATCTCTCTCTCTACTTACTATCTCATCGTTCTTCTCCATCTCTCCTATACTCTCTATACCTCTCTCTCTATCTCCTCTCCTCTATCTCTCATAGCTCTCTCATACTCTATCTATCTATCCTATATATCTCCTCTATCTCTCTACTCTATCTCTCTATTCCTCTCTCTCTCATTATACTCTCTCCTATATCATTCTATCTAGTCTCTCTCATCTATCTCTCGCTACTCTCTCTCTACTCTCTCTCTACTCTACTCTCTCTCTCTACTCTCTTCTCCTCTCTCGCTCCTCTCTCTCTCTACTCTCTCTCTCATCTCTCTACTCTCTCTCTCCTCTCGCTCTCGTCTCCTACTCTCTCGTTATCCTCTCTATCTCTCTCCTAATCTCTCTCTCTCTCTCTCTCTCTCTCTCTCGCTCTATCTCTTCTCTCGCTCTCTCTCTGTCTCTACTCTCTCTCTCTTCCTCTACTTATACTCTCTCTACTCTCTTGTACTCTCTCTCTCTCTCTCTCTCTCTCTCCCTCTTGTCTCTCGTCTACTCTCTCTCTTGTCTTTCTGTATGTATCTCTCTATTCTCTCGCTCTTCTCTCTCTCTCTCTCTCTTCTCCCTTTGTCATTCTCTATCTCCTCATCTCTCCTCTCTCTCTCTCTCTCTCCTATCTCTCTCTATGTTGTCCTCTCTCTCTCTCTCTCGTCTCATCTCATCTCTCTCTATATCTCTTCTGTCTGTCTCTCGCTTCTCTCTCTCTCTCTCTCTCTCTCCTCTCTCTCTCTCCTCTTCTACTCTACGATCTCTATCTCCTCTCCTATATCTCTATGTCTGTTTCTCTCTACTACTCTCATCTCTATCTATCTCTCAATCTCTCTATCTTCTTTTCTCTGTCGTTTTCTCTCTCTGCCTCTCTCTCTCGCTCTCTCTCTCTCTCTCTCTCTCTCTGTCTGTTTCTCTCTTCTTCTCTCTCTATCTCTCTCATCTCTTCTCTCTTCTCTGTCCTGTTTTACTATCTCTCTTCTCTATCCCTCTATCTAGCGTCTCTCTCTCTCTGCTCTCTCTCTGTCAGGTTATCTCTCTCTCTCCTCTCTCTCTCTCTCTCTCTCTCCTCTCTCTCTCTCTCTCTCTTTCCGTCTCTCTGTACTCTTCTTCATTCTATATGTCGCTCTCTACTCTCTCTCTCTCTCTCTCCTCATCTCTCTCTCTCTTCTCTCCTCCTCTCCTTCTCTCTGTTCTCTCTCTCTGCTCTTCTATCTCTCTCGCTCTCTCTCTATTCTCTCTCTCTCTCGCTCTCTATACGTCATCTGTCTCTCTCTCTTCTCTCTCTCTCTCTCTCTCTCTCCTCTCTCTCTCATCTCTCTACGTCTCTCTGTACTCTCTCTCTCTCTCTCTCTATCTCTCTCTCTCCTCATCTCTCTATCTCTCTCTCTCTCTATCGTCTCTCTGTCTCTCTCTCGCTCTCTCTACATCTCTATCTCTCTCCTATATCTCTTTCTATCTCTACTATTCTCCGTATCTCTGTCTCTACTCATCTCTCTCTCTCTCTCTCTCTCTCTCTCTCTCTAGCTCGTCTCGTCGCTCTCTCTCTCTCTGTCTGTCTGTCTGTCTTCTCTCTCTTCTCTCTCTACTCTCTCTCTCTCTCTCTATATCCTCTCTTCTGCTACTCTCTCCGTCTCTCCTTATATGTCGCTATATCTCATCTTGTCTGTCTGTCTCTTCTCTCTCTCTCTCTCTCGATCTCTCTCTCTATCTCTCTCTCTCTCTCTCCTTAGTCTAGTCTGTCTCTCTCTTCTCTATCTCTCGCTCTCTCGCTTATCTCTCAGCTCTCTCTGTCTCTACTCATCTCTCTTCTCTCCGTCTCTCTCTTCTCTCTCTCTCTCTCTCTCCTCCTGTCTATCTATCTGTCTCTTCTCTCTATCTCTCTCTCTCTCTCTCTCTTCTCTCTTTCCGTCTATCTATCCCTACTTTCTCTTTATCTATCGCTAGCTCTCTTCGCTAGCTCGCTCGATCGCTCGCTCGCTAGCTCGCTCGCTCGCTCGCTCGCTCGCTCACTCGCTCTCCCTTCTCTCGTCTCTCTCTATGTCTATATACTTCTCTGTCTCTCCCTGTCGCCTGTCTGCATCTATCTGTATGTCTGTTCTCTGCTCTATATCTCTCATATATCTCTAATCATCTCTCTATCTCTATCGTACATAGACATAGACATAGACATAGACATAGACTAGACTAGACCATGACATAGACATAGACAAAGACATAGACATAGACATAGACATAGACATGACATAATCTATATACCTAATATATATACATCACTACATATATATATAAATTATCGACATATTCTCTATCTCTCTATACGTATATGATCATATACATAATATCATACCTAATATATACATAATGTATATATATATATATATCTAATATATCTAATATCTCTCGCTTTCGCATACTATCTATATATCTAGATATTATCTACTATGCTCTTCTACAATCTCTCTCATCCTACTCTCTCATATCTCTCTCTATATCCTCTATTATAATATAATATATATAAATAATGTATATATTATAATATATATATAAAAATATATCTATATAATATATATATAATATATATATAATATATATAATATATATTATATATATACAATATATATAATATATATTATATACAATATATATAATACATATATAATATCTATAAAATATATATAATAAATATATAATATATATACATAATATATAATATATATATAATATACATAACATGTATACTATATAATATATATATAATCTATATATAATATATACAATTATATAATATATATAATATACATGATATATATATAATATATATACAATATATATAATACATATATGATATATATATAATATATATAATACATATATAATATATATATAATATATATAATACATATATAATATATATAATATATATAATACATATATAATATATATATAATATATATAATACATATATAATATATATAATACATATATAATATATATATAATATAAATACAATATATATAACATATATAATATGTATAATATATATATAATATAGATATATATATATATTATATATAATATATATAATATATATTATATAATATATACAATATATATTATATAATATATATAACATATATTATATAATATACATAATATATATTATATAATATACATAATATATTTACAATATACATATATAATATACATATATAACATATATATAAATATACATATACATATATACATGTATCTATATATGTATATACATGTTTATATATATACATATACATAAGCAAGATATCAGGTTCCTTACCTATGACATATGGATGGGTGGATCGCCAAGTCAAAGGTCGGAATTTCATGACAGAGATAAAACGACTCAGGTTCTTTATTTCATTCTTCAAATACTCTCCATGAATAATTCCTGTAAAGAAAAGTACACATTTCTCCAGTACACCTCAATAGCATAAATGATAATTAACCCATTGGATCTTGGTGATATGACCATCATATCATGAAAAGCCTTGGCTTAAGGCCAAGGAATAAACAATAATGGAAAATGATATGTCATGAGTGCACAAAGCTCTTGGAGGAAGATTAGACTCAGTCAGCATTTATGGAGAGGTTCTTGCATTATTTCTACCAGTAATCTAGAGTGGAATGGACAATCCATGAGACTTGGCTAGCTCCATGGAGGACACTTTATCCAGAGCCAGGATCTTACTCCTGCTGCCATGACCAGCAGCATGTTACAGAAAAATGAATAATACATTTCTTTTTTATTACTACCTACACTACCTAGAGACCTGAGTGACAGTATGGAGTCTGCTTAATAAAATGTCTATTGCTATTTTGATACAGAACAATAAATGACAAATATGGCCATTTGAAAATGGCAGAGAGTATGAAATGCTTATACAGAAAAAGAGATAAAAACAATGCAAAGGTAAGTCAGGGAGTCTTGATTTTGCACATGAGTATTCATGTAAGCCTGACCTGATACTGCACATGAAAATCAGTGTGGACCAGGCCTACAAGCCACACACCAAGGAGAGTTGGCCTTAACAGACACCTAATGTCCAGATTTTGTTCCACATGAAGGCCACAAGGCACCTTTATCCAAAGGATTAAAAAATATTTATATACAAGCAAAACCAAAATCTTACCTGACAAAAAGAAGAGCTTGGCTCCAGGATACAACTCAATTTGAAACCTATGCTTCAGAGTTTTCTTTTTCTTTTTCAAAACCTTGTTATCCTTCATCATGTCAAGATGATTTAAGATCTGTAAGAAATGTAAAGATAAACCTGAATAAAAGGAATGTAAATAATGGTTAGAAAGAGTGTGTATAAATATGAGGTAACTCTATACAAATAACTATGTGTATGCCTGAAGCATGTACAATTTACAGTATATAAATTTGATAACACTATTGGATATGCATGGTTAGTTTAGGATATAGGGATGGCATGCATACTAGTACTAAGTCACCAAAAAGCCAATTAAGAATACCATCTTCTCAACTATAAACCATTTTCCTTAATTTTTGTAAAGATTTTCTGGTATCTTTCAGTTTTGTTAGTAATGTCAACAACAATATAATAATCATATGTCTATAATAATTACAATAGCATCAACATTGAATAATAAAAATAACAATTCATGAAAACTCAGGGAAAGGGGAAACCAAATGAGAGCATAAGGTCTAAGGTCTACTAATTGACTCTTTGGTGGTTAAGCATGTGTGGAGTCATCTATGTGCAGAGGCATTTCAACAATATTTCTATAAGAACTAGATTTTCCTAGCAATGGTAAGTTGAGAAACAAATGTTCTACTTTTCATGTGAAAAAAGCAACTTTGTATTGGTATGTGTATATTCAATAAACATCAATGGCTGCCATAGTTCCGTATGTAAGATATCAGACTAGTTCTTCAGTTTTACTCTTTTGCTCTGAATAACTTCAAAAACAAAATCAGAAAATGCTATCTATCCTCACAAAATACAAGAGCAAATCAGACATGATAACCTTTTCATCATAACAAATGAGATCAATGTTTCAAGAATTTCACACTGACTTTAAACTTGTAAATGTAGGAAAAAAGTACTGCTAATGAGTAAAATGAAAGGCAATGATGGCATAAAGACAATGAAGTAATAATAATAATGAAATCTGAAGCTCTGATAATAAAAAAAGAATTATATACGAATGTGACTGTATTCAAGATATCATCTGATAAATTAAATAACATATTTACCCCCATGATGCGTGGAGATCCATGTGCACGACATATCTCGAGAAATTCAAAAACCTCCATTTCAATTCCAAATGTTGCATCAATTAGTATGAGGACTATATCTGCAACTTTTGCAATATCAATCATACAATTGATATCATTGTTAACTTCAATGAATGTTAACTTTTTCTTTTTACCTGTTGGAAAAAATTAAATTGAAGGCAATAATAATAATGCAGATTTAAAAGAAATTTTTAATCAACCAAAAATTGATAACTATAGTTAAATAAAATCATTCTAAAAGTCAAAGTAGCATTGGATACCCACCTGCAACAATGGTAACAGGTCCATTGATTTCAGATAGTCGTTGGTTGGTGTAATTCTTAATCAGGCATCGCAGCAGAGTTGATTTCCCCACCTTTGGACCACCAACCACTGCCACAACAACAGGTGGTGGCTCTAATGGGGCTCGGTCAACAACTGGTATGTGGTGCTTTTTTGCTTTAATATCTTGTGATCTGGAAAATATTCACTGGAAATGTAGGCTTCACTCGAAAAACTCGTTGGAAAGGTAGGCTTCCTTGCTCCACTCATTTGATAATAAAAAGATTACAGTTTTAGATAACTAGTTGATTTTTTTTTTTTTTTTGCTTGTACAAAATACAACAGTGCTTTATTTCATATATAATTTTAAGGGGACACCCCCATAGGGGAAGTGTGTGGCTCTAAACAATTAAAAAAATCAAATATATTTTGGGGACGTTGCAAGGGAACATCCAAAAGTTATATTTTTTCCCTGTATTACTTTTAAAATATTCTTCAGTTTCATCAATTCTAGGTTAAGTTCACTCTGTACTATGATTTTAAAATTCCGATTTTTTTTTTTTTTCTGTTATTGTGAACTATATTTGGGTCAATTTTCAGTTTTTAGAATGCACATCTTCACCCATTGCCACCAGGGAAAATGAACAAAAACTGGGGAAAATGCTGTGCCTATTTTCTATATTTTTTTGTGAAATGTTTGCCCATAGATGGCTCTGTTAGTGCCTGATTTGAAATGGTGGGAAAAACGTATTTTTCACTAGTGCCATGAATATCGATGGTGTTATTTTTATAATAAACATTATAATCATTATAATATTTTTTTACATTAGTAACAGCAAAATAGGATAACATATAATATTTCGTAAATCAAAGAAAAGGGTAAACGGACGAGGCAGGCAGTACTCGTAACTGGCTCATTAGTGATTTAGTACAAGTGTAGCCATCTATGTGTGAAAACAATCAAACAAGTAATCTCACAGTGGGCATGGCATGGCATGCCCGTTGGCAATGGGTTAAAGTTTTATTTCAAAATTCAAAAATCGGGCCACACTCTGGCCCACTCGTGAAAGAAAGAGTATGATATGGGGGCACTCAAAACTTACAACTGCTGGATGGTCCACCAGCTTAACCCATTGCCACCGGGGATGGCATGTACGTACATGCCATGCCCACTGTGAGTCGACTTGTTCGATTGTTTTTACACATAGATGGCTACACTTGTACTAAGTATCCAATGAGCCAATTACAGTACTGCCTGTCTCGCCCGTTCACCCTTTTCATCGATTTACGAAAATATTTAACGTTATCCTAATTTGCTGTTAAAAATAACACCATCTATATTTATAGCACTAGTAAAAATACGTTTTTTCCCACCAATTCAAGGAAAGGTGAAATCAGGACTAGCAGAGCCATCTATGTACAGAGATATTTCACAGAAATATAAAAAATGAGTACAGCATTTTCCCCCTTTTTTATTCATTTTCCCCGGTGGCAATGGGTTAAGGTTCACCTATATTTAACACTATTAGTTTTTATATTAATATATATTAGGAAAAAAGCAAATTGTAACTCACCTTACAAATGTCCTCTGAGCCTTCACTGCTGAATGAAAGGCAAAGGCTTTTGGGTTTCTCTGTTTTGCAGTCAAGTCTTGCACATGCTTGTTTTTGTCTGCTTTCTTTTCTGCTTTTCGTCCTGCATGACGTTTTTTATGAGCCTTCTTCTTGTCAAAATCAATTTCTTCAGCCATTTTTTTATGTTTTGATTCACCTCTCTGAAATAAATCATTATTCATTATTTTTCTGGTAATGTTATTACCACAGAGAAACACAAGACACAGTAAATAAAGAAATAATAACAAAAATAACAAAAAAATAAAATAGAATATATATATATAATAATAACAATAATAATAATAATAATAATAATAATGACAATGACAATGACAATGACAATGACAATGACAATGACAATGACAATGATAATGATAATGATAATGATAATGATAATGATAATGATAATGATAATGATAATGATAATGACAATAACAATAACAATAACAATAACAATAACAATAACAATAATAATAATAATAATAATAATAATAATAATAATAATAATAATAATATTGATAATGATGATGATAATATTGATTAATAATAACGATGATGATGATGATGATGATGATGATGATGATGATGATGATGATGATGATGATGATGATGATGATGATGATGATGATGATGATGATGATGATGATGATGATGATGATGATGATGATGATTGTTGTTGTTATTATCATTATTATTATTATTATTATTATTATTATTATTATTATTATTATTATTATTATTATTATTATTATTATTATTATTATTATTATGATTGTGTCATTCTCTCCACAATAATAATAATAATAACATTAATAATAATATTGTTATTATTACTATTATTATTATTATTATTATTATTATTATTATTATTATTATTAATAATGTTAATATTATTGTATAATCATCACGACTATCATTATTATTGTTGTTTTGTTGTTGTTATTGTTATTGTTATTGTTATTGTTGTTATTGTTATTGTTATTGTTATTGTTATTGTTATTGTTATTGTTATTGTTATTGTTATTGTTATTGTTATTGTTATTGTTATTGTTATTGTTATTGTTATTGTTGTTGTTGTTGTTGTTGTTGTTGTTGTTGTTGTTGTTATTATTTCTCAATAATAGGTACTTAATCTCAGAGGAGTGTGGCCACTTAAAGTACATTACCAATAGTTTTGTTTCTCTCCTTTGCAATCTTGATTTGATAGTCCCAATAGCAGGGGAGGGCATAAAGTATATCAAGGAAATTATGGGACAAAACATGACCCCTGTGGTTGTTAAACAAAACATCCTTACCCAACACCCAACCTAACCTAACACAATGGTATATATTCCCTGGACCCCCACAGTAATATATATGCCTGTGAACCCTCTATGGTAGTATATGCATCTAGAATTCACCCTCACAATGTAAACAAGATGAGCAACTTAGCCAAAATTGGGGATCTTCTCCTTTCTTTTACGTATAGTACCCTTGCGAAGTATTTGCACACATATTACCAAAGAACTCTTGGTTTGTATTGTTCTATCATTTCATGTAGGTTTTATGGTCAATATGTAGTATAAGGTAGTGGCAGAGTTGGGTAATAAAACCTACATGAAATGATAGAACAATACAAACCATGACAAAGTTCTTCTATGGCAATATGTGAGCAAATGCTTCCCAAGGTACTATACGTAAAAGAAAAGGGAAGAAAATGGGTTACTCTCGAAACAATTTTGATATTTTTCTGCACGAAATCCACTGCTTTCAACGATTCTAGGCATTGTTCATTGTGCAAATGGGCGACCTAACCCAACATCCAACCTAACCTAACACTGTGGTATATGTTCCCTAGCCAGGGGGCTCTGCCCCCTGAGTCCCCGGGGTAATATAATATATATGTGTGCAAATGCTTCCCAAGGGCGATAGGTATAAATATTATATATATAACTAGCACCCTTGGGAAGCATTTGCACACATATTGCCATATAAGAACTTTGTCTTGGTTTGTATTGTTCTATCATTTCATGTAGGTTTAATTACCCAAATCTGCCACTACCTTATACTACATATTGTCCTGTGTTTGTATGAAACAAAAAAATTATCATCGTCTTATCCAAACTTAATCCAAACATTCCCTTCAAACACTGAGAGATTTCATTATACATTCATGTACATAGCCACCTTCCAACTCAGCAGATAAATGTTATTGATATATACCTGTAAGTCGACACCTTTTGTTTGGAATAGTCTATAATACTTACATATATAAACAGACTTAGAGAACTGCCTCTTCCATGTTGTGCACAATAACGCAGTCACTTCCCCGTTGGCCGCTCGCCCGCACGTGTTGTTTACCTTCTGCTCAGCGATACTCCTGGGACTACATGCTCAAAGCGAATTCATTACTTCAGTTGCCTTGGAAGAAAATGTTGATGGGCAGCATTGTCCACACCATATCCATCAATGAATATAACAAACTGCAGAATTTCAAAATATTAATCATACCTCAGTGTACTATTTAATTGCGTTAAATGTGTCGCCTACGAGCTTTAAAGAAGGAAAGTAGATTGATAGACTGATAGATAAAATAAAAATTAAAACAGAAATATTCCAGTCCATTAAAGATATATGCCAATACTTATTAAAGACTACAACTACTTAGGGAAACGAACGTAGTAAAAATCTATACACCATTTACAGGAAGGTCTCACAAAAAATAAACCAAGTAGAAATAAATGTTGGTAAATAAATCAACTAGCCTCATATGAACCACATCTTCAATTCAGTTATAGCTTGTTAATATATATAAGTAGCAAAAGAAAGAAAAAAGAAAGAAAGAAACAGCAACACACGATATACTTAAGATAAAAAAGTATGCATAAATGTAGAAAACCAACGTAACTAACACGTCTGTGCTAAGATATCAAAGCAATGTTAGCTGCATTTATGTATGCATATAATCTTAAGATATTCCAGTTCTTAATTTGTACCTTTATTCCCAAATGAATGAAAGCCTAGTTGATCTTATGTGCACGTTAATAATATTATAAGGCACATAAGAGTAAAAGATTTTTCTCTCGTGGTGTGTGTGTGTGTGTGTGTGTGTGTGAGTGTGTGTGTGTGTGTGTGTGTGTGTGTGTGTGTGTGTGTGTGTGTGTGTGTGTGTGTGTGTGTGTGTGTGTGTGTGTGTGTGTGTGTGTGTGTGTGTTTGTGTAAAACTCAATAGAAAGTGAAACGGAAATAGCATTTTTTAAATGCTATTTGTTTATCTATCTATTTCTTAGTCCATCTCTCGCTTTCAACATTATTATCTTCCTCTTCTCTGACAGTCCGTCACTCATCACTCTCACTCCGGAGAGGTAAGTTGAGGAATGGAACTAACAACTGTATCTTGTTTGGCTTTGTGCGGGGAAAGTTACTTTGTACATTTGTGTCCAATGTGACAAAGATAAAATGGAAAGTGGTTATATACATATCTTGCACTGTGAAGTTATTAATTTTCTTTAATGCCTTTTGCTACATTTGTCGCAAAGAAAATTGTTTAACCGTATACATATATAACACAATCGCATTTGCATATTAGAGGGAAGGACTGTATGTCGCCAAATTCTAGTACAGTTGTTCCCAGCTGACAGGTTGTGACCCCCAAGGAGGG